CACTTTATTTATTTCCACTAAATAACAAAAGTACATCAAAATGATTGAAGCTAAGGGCATACAAAACTGTCTAACATTTCAGGCAGTCAAGTTGCACCCGACCACTATTGATCTGCCAACGGTCATTGTAATTACCACGATGAGTGCTTCTTCCTCGACCTCCTTTTCTTGATATTTAGGATACTTGATAGGTCGGGCATCCTTCTTAACGAACTGCTTGAGGTAACCACATTGGATTAGATCCTCGACCTCATTCTTCAAGTCCTAACAATACATTGTATCATGTCCAACGGTCCGATGAAACTTGTAGTACCGGTCCCAGTTTCCATTTGCCAAGTTACCTCTCATGCATGGGGACTACTTTAGATAGTTTGCTTATTTGATCTGCATCAAGATATCTCCACTCTTGAAGTTCAATGGTGTATAGGTTTGGTACCTTTTGGGCGGAGTCCAAGAACGCCTAAGTGGTAATCAAGATCATCTAGACGAACCTCCCTTACCCCAACTTTGCTTATTAGAGCTTTGGGGCGCTCAAGGTGTCTAACCAACTGGGTTCATGGTCTCTAGACGAACTATTGTGGTGATCTTCCCTAGAACCCAGTCATCTCTTGACAGGTTCATGTCGAGGATGCCTTCTATATCTGTTTCGTTTGGAGAACAAGACCATCGTGGAGCGTGAGTTGTCCAACTTGTAGGAAGAGTTTGTTCTGCTACCCTCTTCCTTAAGCACATAACTGTGGTCTCATTGCTCTGACATGCAGGTCCGGACAAGGCTATCATTGCCGTTTGTTGTTCTGAGGTGTTGTTGGAGCCAAAGGAATTTCCGATGGTGCGGGTGGTTAGTTATCTTGATTTCATGCCAGAATCTGCCCCCTATTGGTGTATTGTGCTGCTCTCAAGGTAGCTACTATTTGGCTGCAGCTCCGTGTTCTTCCCAAGCTTGTAGATGGATGCTAGTCACCCCCCCTTGGTGTCACAAAGGGCTCAACATTCTAGGACTGTCCCTCAGAGGAAGATCCACCAGCGACTTGAGTGTCCTTGTTCTTTGGAGAAGACATAGTGAAAAAAAAGAAAGAGGAAATGGCCTTTGTGTTCGATAGTTCTCACAAACAACGCCAATTGATGATGATCAAATGTGTTTGATCCCTATTGTTGATGATAGATAAGAGCTCGACAAGCGTGCTTGGATGTTGAATATGCAAGACAGATGATGTCGAAGGGCTCGGGGGATTTCCTAGGAAAGGAACTCCAATGGTCAAGTAAGTACTGAACTCTCCAAGGTGATAGAAAACAACAGAGTAGGAATCAAAGCATGAGAGTGTGTGTGCCAATAAGTGAGCATACCTTCTGAGGGTGAAGGATCACCCATATATAGACTTCAAGACTCGATTGTGACATGCCCAACATGTTTGGGCTGTTAATGCTCATTCGCCCATTGCTTTTGGGATACATCCGCACAATGTTGTGGGTGTCCTTATTCATTTCCCTGCGAAGCGGGCTTGTCATTGCCAAGTAGGCATTGTGTCCTTGAATATCTCGGACCGGCTATACGATGCAAATGGAGAAGAGGGAAATCATTCCACATAGGTCGGAGGCATGTTGAGGTCGGAGAGGTTCCTCAGACCACTAGTTGTCCGAGTCAAACAAGCAAGTCGGGAGTGTGGAGCAGTGAAATCAAGCGTGTGCTTTGAACCGATGGGCTGATTTGTTATGGTTCTCTTAAGTGAGGTTGATGTTTGCTCGAGCTTCATAAACCGATCTGTTTAGGTGCATTCAAGCAGGATCCGACCATGTACAAGTGTCATGAAATAGTTTCGGACTAATACGTGGCAAGACGTGATTGAAGGTGGGCCACATACCGAAAACCCAACTACCAAAAAGCAAATGAGATCTTGGTCACAACAGTTTAGAAAATTTTTCCTTTTATTTCCTTTTTTATTTTTTTACTCCATGTCATTTTTAAACAACCAATGAGATGCTCTCCTTCCCCATAAAAAAATTACCTAAAATCTCTCTCTCTCTCTCTCTCCCATGTTCCCAATAACCTAAATAATATCATCAACTAAAAATTCTCCTAAGCTACCTCCCCCATTATCCCCCACTTTTTCCTAAATTATCTCTAATTCCTATTTATCCTCTCCCCCGCTTTTTATTTATAACTATCTAAAGAAAGTTTGAATTAAAAAGTTTAAAATTATTTAAATATTCAAAAAATTATATAATAACCTTAAAATATTTATTAAAAACAAAAATAATTATAATTGATTTAATAATATTCATACTATTAATAATTTTATGTTTTTTCAAAATACATCATGAAATAATTTACTAACAATAAATTAGGGTTTTTCAAATTATTCAATTTAAATGTTATTCAAATAATAAAAATTTAACAGTAAAAAATAAAATACTATTTAAATAATTCAAGAACTAAATATCTTAAATAACAAAATATAAAAAATGGATAAATGATTATATAATAAAATATTTAATATTATGTAATCATTGTAATAGAAATAAAATTCAAATAACAAAAAAAAATTAAATATTTTATATATTATTTAAATATTTAAATAACTAAATATTTTAACTAACGTAATATAACATAACTAGATTTTAAATAGTTAAAATAATGAAATTGTGTAACAAATTTAAAAATTATCTTAAAACTATAAAATAATTATAACATAATATTCAAATTAATAATAATTTAATATTTTACAAAATTAATAACGAAATTATATAATAATAGTATAAATTATAATTTTATGGATTATTAAATTCAATAAATAATTAATATTTTCAAATTTAAATAATGAGATTATCTAAATAACAGAATAATATTGTAAATAACTAATTTCACTTATATTAATTAACAATTCCGAAAATAACTTTAAAAAAAAATAATATTTATTAATAATAATTATAAAATTATAATCTATATTTATTATCTATATATAATAAAATTAATATTTATTGTATTTTAATTATTTATTTATTGTTTTGCGGTAAATATATTTTCAATAATTATGTATAAATCTATTTTTTATTTAATATAAAATTTTCAATAATTATTGGAGAGTAAACTACTGTTGTTTAATTTTTTAAGTTTAATTTATTAATTAATATTTATTAGAGATTAAACTATTATTTGAGATTACACTATTTATTGACTACTTTAATATATTTTTTAGTATTTATTGTATTTTATAATTATTATATTTTCATTATCAATATATTTTCAATAATTGTGTATTTTTACAATAAAATTTCAATAATTATTGGAGATTAAACTATTATTATTTATTAGAGACATATTAAACTATTAATTTAGCTGAAATTAAGAGTATTCATGGGTTGGTTCTGTTTGGTTGTAGGCTGTTTGGCCAACCAAATCAACCTGGTCAAGTTGGGGAGTTGGTCACCCGTAGCTAACTGACCATTAGTGAAAATCAGACAACTTGGGTTGTATAAGTTTAGGTCATTTTTTCGATTTGGTTAGTCGGTTCAAAAGATTTAAGCTTAAAAATTAAATTTAAATTTAAAAAATTACAGTGGCATTATTAAAAATTAAAATTTATGATAATATATATATATGGCCAGGTAGATTAATTTTGGTCGATTTATAAATGGCCAAAGTGAAATTGACTTGGTTAGGTTGGGAAATTGTTGAACCAAAGTTGACCGGAAATACTAGAAAACCAACCAACTCAATTCAAGTTGGTCAGGTTGGTTAGTTTCATCAATTTGAAGAACAACCCTAGCTGAAATTAATTATTATTATTTTTGTAATGTAAAAAAATATTAAAAGTAGTATATAAAATATAAGAAAAAATCTATGATGCGGGAAAGATATGGTATCATAAGAGTTTTGATCAATCAAAATCCACCCATGAATTTTGATAAATAACACTTGATTGGCTACCACATTTATGATAGCAATTGATTGGTCAAAAAATTTTCAGATATCATATCTTTTCCATGTCATAATCAAACCCAAAATATAAATAATTATTAATTATTTAAAAATTAAAAGTATAAAACAATTATATTCTTTTGTATGTTTCTATTATTTAACCTTCACTTAATAAATTGATGCACAGGCGTGAAAAATTAAAAGCAATCATAAAGCGAGACATAGGGTGGGCCGAAAGGGTTATCTTCCCCTTGTCTATTTTTTATCTTACGGAAAGATGATTGTCCATTTTTTATTGGGATACTTGCAATTCTGCTGACATCATGAATCATTATAAGAACCCAAGGAGAGGGAGATCCATCCTTCAATAATGGTATATGCTGTATACCTTTGCATCAAAGCAAGAATAATGGCATATACCTTGCTTCTTTAAATACCTGATTTGCCCCTCCCTCCCTTCTTTCTAACTTATAAGGATTCGGGTTTCAAGATTGTATAATAAGATTGTTTGGGACAAGTTGATTTTAAAGAGGATTAACACTTTCTTATTGCTTCACTGCTTCAATTACAGTGCTTTATTCATACATTCATTGCTTAATCATCAAATTAAAAAAAAAAAAAAAAACAGAGAGAAAAAACCCAATTATTAAGAGAAATTATTTGTTGTTTTTTCCTAAGTAATCATCATTTCACCAAAAAGAAAAAAAGCAAAATAAACCGGGTCTTTTGAGGACATATTTGTCCTATTACAAAAGAACTTTACAAAAAATGAAAAAGAAATAGTTTTGTTCAGAGGAGGGAACACCACCTTCCACTTGGCTTCTGGCGTGGAACCACGTGGTTCTATTCAAGCCGTTTGATCCCGCAGCTGAATATCCAACGGTGAGTGCTTGCCTACAACGCATGTCCGGAAATGCCTCAAGTGTGGGAAACCGAAACCGGTCACGTGCTTCCAGGCGCCAGGCCGCAGCTGCATCCGTATCATCTCCACTTCCTCCAACCAATAGTACGAGGTCACGTGTCCGTCAGTTAGTTAAGCGCTTCACGCTTCCTCGCCTTCCCTCCAACTCAATATAAAAATCGTTCTGATGCTTTGTTCCACTACTGCGGTTTTCTTAAAAATTTCCCGTCGTCGAATCCAAGCAATGGAAGTCTCCGGCGTTGTCTTCCGGTCAGTTCCGAGCCTATCTAGTGCTGGATTTGATACCCAGTACTTAAAAGCGTCTTCATCTTGTCTGTGCGTAGATGCCGGAAGCCGGTCTTCTGGCAACCTCCGTATCGTGGGTCCTCGGGATCCCAATGTTGTTATAAAGACTAGAACGTTTTCAGGGAATTCGAGTTCTGGATTTTCCAATAATGGGCATTTGCAGTACTATGTACCACCTAGATCAGGTGGGGACAAGAAGGAGAAAGTGAAGGAAAAGAGCTCAGAAATCGCAACAAGAAAGAAGAGGTCGAAATTGATTAAAGGATTATCGAAGGACTTGTTGAAGTTTTCTGGAATGGATTTTGGATTGGAGGTTGAAAATGGGATGGTTGCGGAAGTTAAGGGGAAGATGTTTACGGTAAGATTCCATACTACTAAATCGACTATGTCTCTCTGAATGAATCGTCTCTTTTGGCTATTCTTTGTTGGATTTTGGTTGAATTAGAGCAAATGAATGCTTTAAAGGCTCGGTAGAAATTTCTTGAATGCTTTTCTGTTCCTTTTATTTTTTTTTCTTTTCCTTTTTCTGGGAGAGGAAGGGGAAGAAGCTCCGTTAGTTCCATTCTTCCACAGCTTTTCTTTTTGGTTTTATGTGGACTCTGTTATTTAAAATTTTCCAGTATCCTTGCTTCCCGTTAGTTTGGACGCCATCAATTGAATATGGCTTCGAATTTCAGTTGAATTTCTTCATTGATTTACCCAAAAAAGTAAAAAAAAAAAAAAACAAAAGATACCTTCTGTAACTCTATGTGAAAAGTTGAAAATTGAATCGCATCTTAAATGCTGAAATTTGGACAAAATACAAAATATGTTTCTTCTTATTATTTCAATATCAATATCCTGTTATTATCCAAAAGAACTGAATTTTTCACCAATAGCATATATGTTTTTTTTTGTTTCCAACTATTTCTTGGGTTCTTTGTTTCCAATAATTCCAGGGATAGATAGACTGACATTTTGGTCAATATTTTGAAATATCATACAAAGGGAAAAAAGGGAAAATAAACTCAATTTGCATTTTCATATTTCATGTTGCTACAAGTAGGCAGAAAAAAATATATCTTTAGCGAGATTTCTAGACATAATTTTTCTTTCTCCTTTCCTTCTTTGTGGATGGTTTATTGATCCTTTCTTTAAAAGTTGGCAGGGGCAATTTCATTCATGGAGGAGAAATTGTTTCTGGTTTGGAATTATAACATTAATATGAGTACAAGATGGTTTCTAGTAGAAATGCAAAGCAAAACAAATTGATCTTTTTTTTTTTTTGCTTTGAATTGTAAATACAGGAAGCAGCAAAGGCTCTATTAGCACAACTACAACAGTTAAGAGCCAAAGAAAAGGAGATGAAGAGAAAGAGAAAACAAGAGAAGACCAAGATGAAAGCTGCGCAGATGAAAAGCAGGGTTAACCGTGAATCTTCTGCAGGCTACTCAGAATCAATTGACAGTGAGTGTGAAGAAATCGGTGACATGAGCTGCCTGAGAAATGATACTCCAGAAACAAAGTTAGACGAACCAGAGCAGGAGGTAGGTGCAGTACAAACTAGCCCAAGTGAGCCAATAATCCAAGGAGACAAAGACAAGATTGAAGATTGCAGTGCAGACATTTGCAAACGAGAATGCCACAATGGAAGTGATGCTAGTTGTTGCAGTGGAAGTAGCGTTGGTGTCAATGATCAAAGTAATTTAGCAAATGGGGCATCGACGAAGAGGATTGAAGTTTGCATGGGTGGAAAGTGCAAGAAATTAGGTGCTGAGATGTTGTTGACAGAGTTTAAAAAGAGACTTGGGGTTGAAGGAGCTGTTGTTGGGTGCAAGTGCATGGGCAAGTGCAGGGATGGTGCTAACGTGCGGATTTTGAATGGGTTGGGTGTTGAGGGAAAGGATGAATCTGTCAGGGGCCCAAGCAATCATCTGTTCATTGGTGTTGGCTTGAAGGATGTAGCTACAATTGTAGAAAGCTTCTTTGGGGAAGAGAGGGATGATTTTGGTCTGTTGACAGTGTCTTGAAACAAAGTGGTGCCTTTGTGCCTTCAATTTAAAATAAGGTTTAAATTGATAGCGGAAACAAGTGCAATTAAACAAATTATGATCAATCAATGAAGTGCAGACTTGTTGATCAACTTGGTGGAAATCTGAGCTTACTGAAAGCAAACATTTGTTTCAAGATAGTATTAGTAGTAGCAAGATGGATTACTTTATGCGTTTTCTTTTAATGTCCACAGGCTACACAGTGAATTGATTGAAAATATATGGATGAAGTTAGCAAGAAAATGGTGAATGCAATGCATTTGGATGTGTTTTTTTCTCGTTTTCATTGTGATTCTCCTTTTTCTTGGGAAGAAACAAGTCCAACACAAAGAAGAAACTGAGCAACCTCTGGAGAATTTCCACAGTATCGTTGAGCAATAACCAGGCTTCCATGATAAACACTGAGGTTAGAATCATTGTTTATCGTAATCCAATAACATTGACGAGCAACCAATAACAAGTATAATACATTCAGTACTAATAAATAAGTACGGTTCACAACAAAGAGAACTTACTAGGAAATGTACAACAGAGTAGCTCACAAGTCACAATTAACAATACACTATTGAGCAAGCCAAAACCTGCAAAAGTAGATTATGCTTGATTCCCGCTGGGCTAAACTACTAGAAAAGCATACCACCGTTTATTATTGTTAAGCAATTACAAGACCAATATCGCAAGTCTACTCGCCCCTCTGATTATACGCTGATCTGCACTTGGCTTGTCAGTGGTTTCTACAATTAATGGGTCTGGAAATTTATGAGACATGAGAACAAGTTAATTCAACATCCAAGAAAAATGATCATATTTCTCGGTAGGCAGCAGTAGGCTTTCCATGATTCTATGAAGCTGCAAAACAGAAGATCATCATCATCAGGAAAAAGAAAGAAAAAACCACCAGTAGTAGAATATACTCGTAAATTTAACTTTCAATTTCAGAGAACTAAATCAATAATTCTCTTACTCCATTAAAGCATTTACACAAAACAAAGTATCATGCTTCACTTTATTGGTGATCCAAGAACTTGCCCACTCTCTAGTCCCCAACTATCTAAATGCAATTATTTTCCTAGGTGCCACTTACCCAGTAAGTGATACCCATCTTCTAGGTGTGTAAATAACTTTCCCACCTGGGGGAAAAGTTTCCAACACTTGAACAGGACAAAAATGCCCTTTTTAATAATGGATTTTTATGGCTAAAATGGTCATTTCCTTTTTTACTTGGAAAATAAAAGAACATGGGTAAATATACTTACCTAGGTGAGTGTTTCCCAAGGAAAATTTACCCATGTAATTGTATTTACCCGGGTAAATAACTTACCAAAAAGTGAACGGGACCTAAATATAGCATGGCCTATTAACATGAAAGAGCAACTAAAACCCTAATCCTTCAACTACAATTTTGGGAAGCTATTTACTTGGGTAAGTGTATCCTAGTTTTGGCAATTTTATCATAAAAAGCCATTATTAAAAGGGGGAATTTTGTCCCATCCATATGTAGCAAATTCCCCCATGTGGGAAAGTTATTTATCCACCTAGGAGAGGGTATTTACCTAGCTACCCAGTCATACCCAGGGAAAGTGAATTTTCCATGAATCCCATATAAATCTGAAAAAAGAAGATAGGTAGGTATCTTGGTCAATGGATAAGAATTAAAATCCCCTGCCAAAATCCAAAAAACGAACGGGCACTAAGAGAAAGTTCCCTCCAAAAAATTCACTGATCCAATAATCACAATTTTTCCATGTACTCTCGCTAACGAAAGGAATGTTTGGCACCCAAACTGTGCACACTGCACACAAAGGTGAAAGATCAATATCATCATATCATTCAGGTACTGTTACGTTACGTCCCACTTGGAAAGCTAATATTAGGCAGCAGAAAAAGGCATGTGATGAATCAAATGATTGTCGGGATAAGGAGCACAAAATTAAAGGATGCATGATGATCTAGTAGTGCAGATAAGTTTAGGTAAAACCCAAAACAATGGCTAGTCCATCATAGTCTCAGATGCAGTCAAAGACAAATAGACAATGTAAGACCCAATACGGGAATTTATCAAGAGTAGTTTCCACTGCTTTTCAATTTGTCAGAGGAAAATTTTCTTTGCTGAAATTCCATATTATATACAGAGACCCAAGACAGTAAGCAACAGCAGAGAAAATTTTTCTCTTTCTTATTATCACTGGTAGCTGGTAATCAACAGCAGAATAGTTGAAAAATTTTTGAACAATGGGCTTAGGGCTCTATAGTTTATATATCAGAAGAGTAAATGAAAAGAATGAACGTGGCAATGGTGGATAAATACTATTTAATTTCATTCATGAACCAGTAGTTCAGCACTGAACTGGTTGGTAACACAAACAGATCAGGGTCAGAACAATACCTTTCAGTTACAGGGAAGCATCTCGCAAGTAAACCCATCTCTGACAAGCAAGTTAATCGCATCCCTGAACTTGTAGTAATCGTCGTCTGTGTTGTAAACCTGGTGAGAAATCCTGGCATAGCCTGTTACACAATTATGTTTGTTCTGAGCCCCAACTTCTCCCTCTTTCGGTGCTCGATAATATATCGGAACTTCAACACCAAAACTCTCCCGAAGATGTTTCCTCAGCTTCAAAGCATCAGAATCGCTAGAAATCCCCAAGCAAGCAGGAAAACCCACCATGACCATGCTGGAACACATATCTGGAGGCGATCCAAGGTGCGTCCCCCAGGCTTTGGACAGCATCTCCCCCATCCTAATAACAGCTTCATGATTCCTCTTCCTGATTCCATCTATACCACCTTCAAACCTGTTGATGAAATCAAGAGCAGAAGGAACAACAAGCTGCGAGCTGTAGTCCCTCGTCCCAATCCAAGCACTCTCTACAGCCAACCCGTTTCCGTATTCATGAGAAACTACGGGATGATGCAAATCAGAAAATTTGGGCGATTTTTTACAGTAGAGAAATGCACTCGAAGGAGGACAGAAAAGCCACTTGTGCATATTACTGGTGTAAAAATCCGCCCCTATTTGTTTCATGTCGACTCCGACGTTACCAATTGCATGAGCAGCGTCTACAAACACCTGGTCGACGCCTTCCTCCCTGCAGAGCTTAACCAACTCCTTCACCGGAATAACCACGCACGGCATCGACGTAATGTGGTCGATCACTGCTAACCTGACCTTCTTTCCAATGGATTTCCCTTTCTCTAATGCCTTCTTAAATTCATCGATGATTTCGTCGTTAGAATGAACGGGGAAGGGCAGGTGGACTTCGATTACGTGCCCACCAGCGCGAGAAACGTACGCCTGAACCGCTTTCTTGACGGCACCGTACGCGTAGTGGAGCATTACCGCAGCGTCGCCTTTCTGGAACCGCCCTTCCGAAAAGGCCCAAGCCACCTGTTGAAGCACGATTGCGACGGCCGTGGTGGCGTTGTCGACGATCGAGACTTCGTCGACAGACTCCGCGTTGATCATTTCTTTGACCACCTTGCGGGACTCGACGATTCCCTTCTGGAGCTGATTGAAGTAGAAGTCGTCGGGCTGCCGAAGATACCGAAGCTGCCACTCGCGCTGAGCGGCGATAACAGAAGCAGGGCAGCTACCGAAAGCGCCGTGGTTGATACGAGCGACTCCTGGGTCGTGATAAGAGAACTCATCGCGAATTTCGGAATCAGAGATGAAGGGAGAGAGCTTTAACTTCTTGGAGACGTGATTGTTGTTGTTGTCGTAAGTGGTGTCTCCGTTTTCTTTGAATTCTTGATCGTAAGAATCCATGGCTGGAAAATTCTAGTAGTGTTTGCAGAATTCGTGTACCAGAAAAAGAGGACCCATCATCGGAACCATAATTAAGCTTGGGATTCGGTTTGGGATTCGATGGATTATTTTGTAATTGTTAAGACCCAACTGAAGGAATAAAAAATTCAGTTTTTCTTTTCTTTTTTTTTCATTAGGAGAGACTGAGAAAGTGTGAGAGCGATGGGGGGTATGAAGGAATATTGATGATATGGGGACCGAGGAGGAGGAGGAGCATCTCTGACTGTGAAACGCACTGGTGCGCAATGTGCACCTGCCAGCTGATAGTATTAATTTTTGGCAAAAACTGGTATGTGAATTGTTTATTCGAAATATGAATCGAAGACTTTGTAATCGAAAGATTTCCCGGCCGGGAGAAACAGAATCCTCGAACGAACAGTAATAAAATGGCGATGACTCAGTAGCTGCTGAGACTGAGATAGTCTCACTCGGAAGCGCAGCCTGAGGGCTGAAGCTCTCGCCGGGAAGGGAAGATCAGTAGATCTGACCTGCGCGCGGGATCGTCATGGGTAGGGGTTGTCACTGTGTCAATTATATGGTCCGCACCGAATCGAACCGAAATTGGTTGTTTGGTCTGATTTGACCTTTAAGATAGTTTGGTTTCGTCTGAGAATTTCTTAAACCGTAACTTTTTTGTTTGATCAGGTTTTTTAAATTTTAGAAATCAGATTAAACCATAAATCATATTAAATCGAAATATTAATAATATATATTTATTATTTATATAGGTATGTATATTATTTGAAATTTTTATAGAATGGCCCAAATCGTATTAAAACTTGAATAAATTATAATAAAAAGATTTAATGTGATTTAATCTTAGAATTTTTCAAACTATAATTTTTTTTATTTGGTTTGAGATTCTTCAAACCAACCAACCCAAACCAGACTGTAAGCATCCCGGTGCCATAAGCCCCTCGGTTCATCCCCATATCCAACATTAATTTTTGTTCCCTTGGCTATTGGTTTGGCCCTTGGTGCTTCAGCTGACTGTAACTATGGCTGTCCACATTCCAATTTACACAGCCTAAACTGTCAACAGAGCCCTTCCTAGTCAACCCAGTATGCATAATTCAGCAATGATATTAATTGTTTCTTGGAGTCTGTATAAACTAACGGCTCGTGTGGTGGTAAGGTTTTGTTTAGTAGCAAGTTATTGGCTTGGCTTTTTTTTTTTCTTTATAATTTGTCTTTTTGACTTTTTTCTCCATGGGTAATATCAGTATTTTCCAACCGTACCTGAATGGTCGGACTGTTTAGTATGAAAACCGTTTAGGCAATCGATTCCATTTTGCCTTTAACCTAATTTTAAACAAAAAAGAAACTATTAATTTTATCAGCAATTTATTGATCTAAGCGATCGAATTATCAACTCGTTTGATCGAACAATCGTTTTAGTCATTTTTTTATTTTTATTTTTAATTTAAAATAAACCATCTATTAAAATTAATGGCCAAAACAGTTCCAGTTTTGGATCGATTTTTAAAACATTGGCTTACACAATAAACCCATGACCCCCAACCCTTGATGCAAATGGAAATCAACAAGTTGGTAATTTGTTATTGGCTTGGGGCTTGATTCTTATTTCTTTAAAAGCTGATAGATTAGTAGAAATTAATTGGTTTTTAATTCCATATTTTTTTAAGGCTTCCTCCTTTCCGTTCATAATGACTTTTGTTATAGAATAAAATAAATGTCAAAATGTGCTTTCATGCATCATGTTGCCAACTCAAAGCTGCATGAGAAGGTGCTGATGACTTGGCTTGGCCTTTAATATAATTGTATCCCCATTAATTTATTAGAGTACTAGTGCCGATAGATGGTGATTCAACTCTCAATCTCACATGCAATGTAGAACTCAAAGTTGGCTTTTTTATTTTGGGAAAATTTCTTAAATTATCTCTAAGGTTTAAGAAATTGATTAATTATGCCTATACTATTTTGGTATTATCTTAAAGTATCTTTACTATTTTTTACAATTGAGTAACTCTACCTTTATCGTAATAATCTATTAATATTCCATCAAAATCCGTATACATGAGATACGACATGATGTATAACTCTACCTCTACCGTTACCAATATTGTCAATTGCTAGAAACATTAGAGGGGGTACTTTAAGACAATACTAAAATAGTAAGGGTAAAATTAATCAATTTCCTAAACCTTAGAAGTAGTTTAAGAAATTTGCCCTTTTATTTTTTATATGTATAAAAGTCATTATTTGCAAATTGCACCCAATTCTTTTTTTTTTTTTACTTTTTTTTAAGTTAATAATGTGAAGCACAAACGGGAGACTAGAGACATGAGCATAGATATTATCTAGGAAAGAAAATGGTGATGAGCATGTCTGGGTTATAAGCACCATTTTCTCAAAAAAGCGGTGCTGCCACATAGGCTGTTTTCCGGGAAAACAATACTGGTTTTATTTGGTACCAATGTTATAGAACCATTTTTAACATTGGTCATATTATTTAATGTCTAGATGATTTAACAATAACAGGCTGTTTTCTAAGAAAACATTAAATTTGATGTTACTTCATACCACACTTTTCCAATTTCCAAAACATGATCTGAAACAACATTTTTCATAAAAAACGATATCAAATAAGAGGCCATTTTGTAAAACACCACTTTTTTTATGTAATGCCTAGATGGCACCATTTTCTAATAAAACGGCATCGTTGCCAAACACAAGCATAATCATATAAAATATGTATTGCCTTAAATTATGATAACCATATACCAGCGTCATCGCTGGTGTCAGCAATTCTTGATAACCTAACAAACCAAATACCAGCGTCATAGCTGGTGTCAGCCTTGCTCTTAAATAGACTTTGGAGCCCGACAGACTCGGACCTTAGCCAATGTTTTCAACCCGCTCTTGATTCAATCGATTAAATCATTCAAACTGTTACCGGGTCAGGATTTTAGGTCCGGTTCAATCAAGACCTAATGATTAAAAACCGTTGATTTAATTAAGAATTATTCAATTGTTGATCTGTTCGACTTGGTGATCGAGTCGCAGGTTGTATATTCAATGCATGCAAAATTTTTAGAGGCCATAACTTTGCACTCCAATATCCGATTGAGGTGTTTTTTTATTTTGGGTAAATTTTCGAGATCTATGCGTCCCAAGGTGTCATTGCCCCGCTATTTTTGTGAAAAAAAACCCTGATTTTAGCCTCAAATTGTAATTTTTAATATTTTTTATAAATAAAAAATTAAAAACTGAATTATAAAACATAAATTAAATATCAAATAATACATATAACATATCTAAAACATATGTATACATTATTTATTGCTAAAATATATATTTATACACAAATATATGTATATAAATATATATACTTCATGCATATATATACGCTGATGTAGCACAGTTTGAACCGTTCAACCCAGCCGGTTGAACCGGTGACCCATGAGCCAGTGGCAAAAACGATTCGGTTTGGAGGCTGATTTTTAAAACATTGGGATTAGCAATTTACCACACCCTCAAAACTCGACCTCGACCATCCCGGCATGACAGTCCACACCCACCCCTTATTTTAGGTTTTAGAGAGAAAAGAGCGTTTCTTCCTGAGTTGGGTAAAGATTAATGTCCCTTCGAAATATTTGTTCTGATAATTGCATTTATCTATGTGCTCTTATTTTTCAGATAAATAAGAAAATGATTGTTTTAATCATAAAAAATCATATTAAAAGATATAGTTTTGTTCCATCTAAAGTGTTGACAATTTTCTTGGCAATTTTCTCTAGGTGAAAGTTTTCAATAAATTTTTCGTGGATCCTACAAATATCTAAAAATGAACATAAATATCTTGATCAATGGAGTCTGGAGCCCAGTAGACTCGGACTTGGATTAGTACTTTACCACACCCTCACAGACTCGACCTTGACCATCCAGGCACATCAGTTCGGCACCCATGCACCCCTTATTTTAGGTTTTAGAGATAAAAAGAGCGTTTTTTTTTTTTTCCTGAGTTGGATAAAGATTAAGGCCTGGTTGAAATATGTACTTAGATGAATGCAGTTACTCATATTCTTTTATTTTTTAGATAAATAAAAAATGACTGTTTTAACCATAAAAAAACCATTATTAAAAGGGATAATTTTGTCCCATGATAAATAAATTTTTTGTGGGCTTCATATAAATCTAAAAAAAATAACTATCTTGATGAATGAGAATCAAAATCTCATTAAACAACTTTCACCCATTTCAAAATGAATCCGATGGAAGGGAACCATGTTCTTGACTTGTTGAACACGCCTAATCCTCATTTAATATACTAATTTGACTACTTAATTATACCACCCAGTTACTCAACTTTTGACTTTAGTAAGGATTAAGGGAAAAAAAAAACTCGATGTGATGGCATATTGGCATTTTTTTGTAATTTCCCAAGAAAACTATTTTTTCCTATAACTCCCTTTTTAAATTTTATTTAATAAATAATAATATTTTGTCTTTTAAGGGAAATGAGTCTATAATCTCTTGGCATGGTGCAGCTCAGCTTGATCCAACATAGTCTATTTTATCATATTTTCAACATATCTCTTTTGTTTATATTTCTAGAGTATAAAATCATAAATCTCATTTCCTATCTCAAAGAGCTAAACTATGGTCTCAGGTTTAAATATTTGGTGGGATACGCCACCTTATAACTTAAGTAAGCATTAGTGGAAAATTTTTATGATGACGATAATAGTAAATAATATGTTTTCAAAATTTTTTATATTTTTGATATTTATGTCTATAAAAATTATTCTTATTTTTTATATTTATTTTTGTTTAACATGATGTATATTCAATATTAGAGATGTGTCCAAATGTTTCTTATAATTCTTTTGTATTTTTTATATTTTTGTGTGTCTTTATCTTTTTTAATTTTTATTATTGTTTAATAAAGAGGTTAAATTGTTGATTTACCACCAGAAAAAAAAAACTCCATTTTTTTGTCAGTTTTAGATTTATATTTTATTTCTATCATCAATAAAAATAATTATTCTTTGCCACACATATTTTTTCTGTGATATGGTTAATTAATATAGGATTCATTGAAATAATGAGAGTTTAATACATATAAGACTTAATGAGAGGAAATTGAACAAGAAAAAAATGCAATAGTTCAAATCAAGGTTCAAAGTATCGACATGTATCGGCCCGTATCAGCCTATATGTATTGTTCCAGCTCCCCTGAACCAGTTGGCGAAAAAAAAAGTAAAAAAAAAAACACCAAAAGGAGTATTGATTCGCCCGATACGTCCATACCGGTATATCGGGCGTATCAATATTTTGAACCTTGGTTCAAATTACATTTTGTGCCCTCACAATTAGAAATAGGATAAATTCAAAAATAAGATTTGAGTGAAAATACTTAATACAAGGGATTTGAATGAAAAGAAAATAGTTGTTAAAGTTACATTCCTATTCCAGTCCTGGGTTTCTTGTAAATTACAATTTAATAATGTACAAAAAAAGAAGAAGAAAATGTGGAGGT